TGATGTTTCGCTTCTTCTAAGGTCAAATTAGGACGTGAAAATTTACTTTTGATGAGTTCAAAAGTCTCATAATATTGTGGCGATAACGATTGTGACATCTTTGCTTTTCAAAAAACTTTTCAAATTCTTTGACAGGCATCATGATAATTCGTTGCGTATTTAAAGAGATTTTAAGTTTATTGATAAATGAAAATGCGTTCTTATGCAATTAAATTATTGATTTTGTTATTATCTTTATTCTTTAAATGAGAAAAATAAATGATATACAATGAATAATCATTTTGATCGATTTAATCAATAAGTTTCTATATGTGACAAGGATCTGCAAATAATGATTATAATAAGTGATAAAATCAGCCAACAATCCTATAAATTTAATTCTGGCCGAAAACTTAACTTTGGCCGGAGTCAAATAATTATTTAAATGGCCGTTGTGACGATATTGAATAAACCATGTGTTACATGAAGTAATAATCATAGATTACGTAATTTTGATAAATGTTTGTTAAAATTTGATTGTTTTTTCTCGACTTTACACTTGTTCCATAATTCTCATTTTTCTATAAATTTATATTCAGTTGCGATGGGATTTATTAAGAAAAAATAATTTTTAATACACTTATACTCCCATCGCAAATATCTGAGTATACGAAATTATCAGTGATACAGCTTTGGAAACGCAGGGGTTTTGTTGTCCTTCTGGAACGAATACACACGAGGAATCGAAGAAGTCGTGGTTACACAAAAGGTTGAGTTTAACTTTATTTGCTTTTATTTATTATTTTAATAACTTTTTTTTTTTAGTGCTGATTGTTGTTGCTTTGGATCTGAGCTCGTAGAACGGAACCTTGTGAAGTACAGGACTCGGCTCGTGGCACTCGGTACTACCGACGAGTCCCGGTAGAGATTGGAACCGGTTCTATTTCCGAAAACCGGTTTTAAATATTTTCAAAAAATTCGACCCGGTTTAAACCAACAAGGGAGACCGTCCCAAATAAGGAAATCGGTTACACAATTTATTAAAATTTTTTTTATACAGTATATAATACTTTTTGAGGGATCATCCATCTGCATTTCTTCAAATGAAATGTGGGTAAGATTTCTAAGCGAATTTGAAGTTTTCTCACCATATTATTATAATATATATTGTCAACGGGAGAAATTGCAACTCCAAATATCACGTGGGATATGTCAATCAATAATGATCTCACATTAGATGATGTTACTGCTGTGCAAAACAGTGATCAGCAATAATTTCTGTTTCGCCTATTGTGCCTGTTTCTTCTGTATTTTCTGTACAGTCTGTTTATCCTGTTTACTCTGTTTCGTCTGTAATTCCTTTAACATCTGTAATTTATTTTATTTCTTTTTATTACTTTTATAGTTTATATTATTTTTATTATTTTATAGGTATATTTTTATTGAAGTATGTATCTATATTTAGTTAATTTATAGCGCAGCAAGTAGTTAGCTGTAGCAAATTAATTTTGTATAAATAGAATAGCTTTTTGCTTAAGTTGTAAATTAACTCTTCTGCAAGTTTATTAACTTTTTTGCAAGTTTTAATTTAAATCCATACAAACTACTTTTCCCTTTAACATTGTCCTTCACCTAGGATTGTTGTGATACACTACACTAACTTGCTATTGAGTTCATTATTATGAGTTGACTAATAAATATATCTTAAATTCTAAAACGTAATAAATTGCTGAGTTGATTTAAGTATAACGGATACCTGTAGGACTTAGAAAAAATCCTAAAGTCAGAAATTTCAACATGTAGAATCAACTGCCGCAGTAACTTAACTTAGACGTTAAGATAAACAAAAATGAATCCAGTGACAATATTGAATCCTTTTGAATCCCACAACCTTTATATTATTATTAACTGTTTAAAAACATGTCTGAGAGTAAGCATTGTATAGAATGCCAAGCCATTAAGTTGATTAAATTCCGTTTGTTAAAGGGTGAAAAATGAAGAGAAACTATAAGAAATGATTTAATAAAAGTAAGTTGTGTAAAGGGTAGTATTTTATGTAATATTTGTTATATGTGGCTTATATAAAACCCTTTAAAGAGGGTACTAAGAGAGCAAAAGTTGTAAATGAAAAAATTATGAATGAAAATGTTTTAGATGTAATTGAGAAAGAGGCAAGTACGAATATTGATCTCACTTGAGCTATCAAAGTAATGGCAAAAATCTTTTATGAAAGAGAGTATATAAAGAAGGATAGTCCTATTTACGTATTTGATGAAATGTGAAAAATACTTTAGGCAATCAAACTAAACTTGGCTAATTTTTTGATCAACTCTATTTAGTGACTTGACTACTTGAACATAATGAACAAATAATGGATTGTATGAAGAGATTAATGGTGTTTATATACTATCTTTTCACTTTATTGAATAATACTAAAATTAATTATTTTAAGGTCGACCTTGCATACTATTTAGATTCAATGAATATAAGTAATAAAGGCCTGAATATGATGGTAAACCTCAGCGTGTTCATTACGGTAAGAACAATAGAATATAAAAGATGAAAATATCAGATACACATAGAGAATATGTCAAGAATTCTTAAAATATTTGGAAAATAACCTTATATTGAATGTTGACAATTATTACAATATTTACATTCAAAGATAAGCTGATACTACTAACACATCTTGGATAATCTACATGACTATGATCTTAGCTAATCTATATTCTATTTCAACAATTTCATATAGTAGAGTAATCAATTTAAGGATCATTAATAACGAATTAATTTTAAGGCATATTGATAGATGATTCATCATAAATCTTAGTATTTCTTATCATGATCATATACGAGATTATATGGTAAGAGATTCTTCTAATGATGAGATTTTGATAGATGAACTAATAATACATAGTTACAATGACCAATTGACAGAGAAAAGGAATAATCATCATATACAAAATATAATTCTTATTAATTTTGTCAAAAATAATTTGAAAAGTATAAAAGTTTATATAAAAGCTCTTCAAATTGTGAATGATTAACAATCAATACAAGAGTATTTATCTAACTATATAATTTCTATCATTGCAGATTGGTCTGATTAATTATTTATTCGAAAAGTTATTGCACATCGAATTCTCTTCAATAATGAAACTATTCCTCTATTTATCACATTATTTCTGCCTATTATGAGCCTTTTTTATGTATCCTTGAATTTCTGCAAGCTTGTTTTTTTAAAAATTCATTTTTATTTAATAAACTTTACAAAAACATATTCAGAATACATAAGAATCTTGGTAAAAGTCCACAACTATGAAGAATTGATCTAATTCTTCATATTGTACACATGGCATAATTTGATATTGTTGATACTATTTATTTGAAGTTCAGTAACACATGTAAGAATATAGAATTTTTATATTTAATTGGTTTACTAAGCAACTTGATTCCTTTAGTTTTTGATATTTACGCAGTATATCATCGAGAGAGAAATTGCTAGCTTATGAAGAATCTTATATGCATTATTAGACTGATCTATTCTTTCGATTTGATTGAAAAAATTACAAATGTGTTCCATTAATTTTTTTCAGATATTTTTCATTGGATAGAGATTAATCATCTGATGATAAGCATGTTTACTAATCATCTTGCTTCCTTTAGTGATTATTCTGTAGAAATTGCTCACAATATTATCTGATGATGTATTGCTAAATTCTTCATATTTGAACAATTGCAGAAAGAAATACACTTTATTTTTTAATATCGACAGGATAATGGTTTTTGACAGCATTTTGTAGATTCTATAAAATATCCATATCAACCAAAATAATTATGAATGCTTTTTCAAAAATATGCGATAGTACTTTTTGACATATTTACAAGAATATATAATACGTGTCATCAATATTTTTTTATTAAATCTTCATTTAAAAATGGTATTAATACCTACTAATTGCCTTTATTAAGTTATGAAATAACTAATCGCCATCTTCTGTGAGGCTTTGTCACTTCTAAAAAATTAAATATGATTATTTTATGTAACTAAATATATTGTAATTCTACTAATAATTTGCTTAATGGTAGCATTCTGACATGTGGATATGGTTACCATAGTTTATACTTGTAAAGGTGCCAGTTTAAATATTTAATATGTATGGATTATCTTCAGGATGAAGTTAAAAAAATGTCAATGCTCAGATACAAGTTTTTTGAAAATAAAATTAAGTTCTGAAGAATTCATTCAAGAATATAATGAAACTGAAATCAAAAATAATTTGGATAATGTGAAAGAGATAACAGATAATAATGTAGCAATAGAAGATTATTAGAGAATGCAAAGAAATCATTTATGTAATTATAATTTTTATTTTTTATCTTTAAATAAAGTTAATTAAATAATTTTTAAATCTTATAAGATTAGACATCTTATCTAACTATTAATAATTTATGCATTTGTAATATAATTTTACTGATTTATATAACTCGCATCAGTTATAATAGTATTTTTTATTAGGCATCATATGATATAATTCACAATTTTGATTAGTTGATAAATTAGGAAATTTATGTAATAGGAAATGGTCTCCTTTGAGTTTAAACTAGTTGCAATCGATAACTGGATCAATTTAAGTGCTCAGCCTAAATCAAAACCAGTTCTAAAAACCAGTTTGAATCAATTCAATTTTAAATTTTTTACAATATTAGATATATAATCAACTTATTTATAAAGATTTTATTAAATATAAAATATCATTTTCTATTATATTTTAATTATTCTAATGGAGGAAATATATCAAAATGTCTTTTCAAGAATAACATCTTATTACTAAATCTGGAGAAAGTCAAGTTTATTTAGCAATAATATGATTACCTACATCTGAGAATAATAGTTCACTAGAAACTAATGTTATAAGAATTAATAAATACTTTTGTGTAATTTGTGCCAAAATCAGAAAATTATTCTTATTAACTGCCTACTATTTTAATGGATCATTATTTAGTCCAATTTTTCTTTGTTACAAATATAAATTTATCTTATCATCCTTCTCTTTTAATGGCATATCACCTTCTAATGCTTTAAAAATATCACTATCATCTAATAATAATGGATTGCTAAATAAATTTTCATTATTTTTAGGTGAAAGATCCTATTTTATATTATTATATAACTTTCAAGCTAATATTTCAGCTTCAACTTTACCATCTCTCTTACACTATTTAAAAGTTTTAAAACATGAATTTAAAAGTATTGTTATAAGTATAATATCAGATGGAATTGTCTAAAGTTCATTCAAAGATAAAAAAATGGCTGCACAAACTTTTTGAAGCAAATTACTAGTATCTACTAAAGGTAAATATTTTATAGTATTTATATCATTTAAACTAATTTTCTTTAAATTAAATGTTGAACTTCAATTTTTTCTTTTGTTAATTTGCCTATAACCTTGTCCACTTTTATTTTTCTTATTTACCATTTGTTGATGAAAGTGACAATATGTATATTGCCAATACTATCTTGATCTACCTGATGGAATATACTCAACTCATCATCACTAACTATATCATTATCTTCTTCTTCATTACTAATGGAACCATAAATTAATTCAAGGTAAGTATCAAAAAATTCTCTAATTTCTTCAAAGGAATTTTTAAGTAAATACAGGGGGGTGAAATAAATATTGCATAATTTATTTATCGATTTTATTTTATATATAGTCACGAATATTTATAAT